AACCTAGGGATGGAGCCTGATAGAGCATGATGCCATAGGACCTGCCTATCGTGTGCCACCTAGGTACCAGTTTCTCACAACCTATCCCGCGGCGCGGTTGCTACGCTTACTGCGTTTACACCGTGCTCCTTCAATTGTGCGGCAGCATCAGTCCAGCATAGGCAAGCTTTTTCTATGCTGCCATGGCTGGTGATTTTGAGCCCAGAATTCCTGAAGGGATTAATTCTCACAATAGATCCTTGGTGCAAGTGGTTTTCAAAAACTTAGTTCCCCACCTGCCAGGTGAGGGTTGTTAGATTCTATGTCAGTTGCCTGGTCCTCCTCGTCCTCCTCGTCCTCCTCCTTCTCCTCCTCCTCCTCTCGTTGTCCTCCTCTCGTTGTCCTCCTCCTCGTCGTCCTCCTCCTCGTCGTCCTCCTCGTCCTCCTCGTCCAACTGCGACCCGCGATCCACAGTGTTCTCTGTCGGACCTCAACCACGACCATCCATGCTCAGTGTTCCCTGCCGGACCTCAACCACGACCATCCACGTCAGTGTGCCCTGCCGGACCTCAACCACGACCAGCCGGACCTCAACCACGACCATCCACGCCCAGTGTTCCCTGCCGGACCTCAACCACGACCATCCACGCCCAGTGTTCCCTGCCGGACCTCAACCACGACCATCCACGCCCAGTGTTCCCTGCCGGACCTCAACCGCCAGTATCCACGCCAAGTGTTCCCTGCCGGACCTCATGTAGGAAGATAAAATGTCAGATAGAGTGCCAGAAGATTTGCCAGGTAGAATGCCAGAAAATATGCCAGAAGATATGCCAGATAGATATGCCAGAAGATATTCAGAAGATATGCCAGATAGAATGCCAGATAGAATGTCCCAGAAGATATGCCAGATAGAATGCCAGATAGATATGTCAGATAGATGCCAGAAGATATGCCAGATAGAATGCCAGAAGCCAGAAGATTTGCCAGATAGAATGCCAGAAGATATGCCAGAAGATATGCCAGATAGAATGCCAAATAGAATGTCAGAAGATATGTCAGATAGAATGCCAGAAGATGTGCCAGTAAGAACATGTATAAATGTCATGGTGGGGATCACACGAAGTAAAGCATTTTTTTTTGCAATGAACATTGCCAAATAATAGTAGGGGTTCATTGAAAATTAGCAGGGTTCATTGTTTTTTTTTCTGTAAACCAACTCTATGAATTTGGGGTCCAGGGAAATCTCAGGATTCACAACTCCAAACTAAGAAACTAGACATTTGAAGAAGCGGCATGCTTTCTGAGTTGTTCTCTCTAACATCGAAAGAGAGCGGATGTGTCGCCCTCAGTTTGCTAGTTGTTCAATTTTCAAGTCACTAAGTGACTAGGTACCTGGCAAGGTTTTCCGGTCCTAGTAAGAACTTGCTTCTTTGATCCTGGCAACGTGCAACTGTACAACACCCATACATTCCCGTGACCATCAAAGTTCTGCACCTCGAAACTGGATGCTACCGGCTACCGTATATGGTCAGATAGGCAAGGGAGAACTATGTAAAACTATTTGCGGGGATGGCTTTGTGTGCCAACCCCAATTTGCCAAGCGCAATGGATGACAATCATGATTGCATTTTCTCATTGAATATGGCCATATGTTGTGAATAAACCCGAATTTCAAGGTTGGAGCCCAGTCTATCCTCTCAATGATATACATATCCATCCCAAAAGCTGATAGGGTCATCATTGATAACAAGCCACATATTTCCGCGTTGTACCCAGATCATCCATGGTACTCGAATATGTACACACATCCATGTGCTCATGTGCAAGTGTACGTATATGTACGTATGTATGTACATGTGTCTGTTGTTTCTTGTTCTTTAAAACATGTTTGAGAATCATATGTATGCACATGTATATTGAGATAAACAGGATCAATGTCTTCATATTATATATATATACACAATTTATAATTATATATATATATCATAATTACGTATCTTGAGAACAACCATATGAGATCATATGAGTTAAAAATCTCACCTGCGTCCAGGCATTAGCTTTGCCATCCTGTCCTTATCGAAGTTTTATGTGGCACCTCGGTTCTACCCAAGCGCCGCATGGCTATCCCATGGTATCCCGTTTTTCCCTAGCGGAGAGCCCATGTGTATATTGATATCATTACTGGTTGGTGGTTTGTTTGTTTTTTAAAATATCTTCCCAATTCTTCCCATATATTGGGAATAATCATCCCAACTGACCAATATTTTTCAGAGGAGTTGAAACCACCAACCAGATTATCATTCATTGTCTACATGTGATAATAATTTGATATATAGTTTGTTTCACTTGTAATTATGATTGTATTATTATACGCATGTTTGTAGATCTATCTTATCATACAATTATACATATATCTACCTTGCTATGCTTTTGTTGAGCATACTAGAGTTGCTTTCTGTGGCATTGCAGCAGAAATTTCATGGTCCATTGCGTTGGTGCACGTACCCGGCCATAGAACATCCGCCATTTATTTCTCGGACTTGCCTCTTGAACAGGTGGATTTAACACTGCCAGATTAAACATGGTTCGCACTACCAGCATATTTGAGTATATAATACACATAAAGAAGAAAAAGTGTGCTTCCTTTGAGCAAGTTGAAATGACGTTGTTCAGACTCCTCCCATTGAATAGTGGCACGTCCCCACCAATGGCAAGACCCATAATCAAAACACAGCCACATGTGTGACCTGCAGGGGCTGGTGAATTGACTAAGGTTTTGTTCTTCACATGTCATTGGATTGCAACTTGGAGAGAAGCTCTGAGGTTCTGTGGTTAGCCTCTTCTGGTTTGTGGCACTTTAATGGCACCATTTCTTTTAGAGTTGCATCAACTATCACAAAAAATGACTTTACCACATTAGTGAGAGCCATGACCCTTTCCCGTGATTGCATATCAACGAAGCAATCTGAACATTAGCCTTGTGTGGACGTTCAACAAAACTCTTCGATCTGCTCGATTCCAAGGTGGAATGAGGTGCTTTTGACGATTTCTTGTTGGATTCGGATTCAGCTTTTCTTAGTTTCGTCAATCCATTGTTGTCAAGTCCCATGAGCCGTTTTCTTGGTGAACGCAATTCGAGTCGGCTTCACCGCACCACCCAGCTGCCAGCAGGATCATCGCAATTTTGATAGGCCCTAACGGCCTAACCAATCGATTTGCATTTTTAATTGAGAAAACCCAAACTACAGATTTTGTATTGTTTTGATTGGTTTTGTATGTATGTTTCTTCCCCTGCAGTCTCTAAATGTCTCTAGATCTGTGTCAGCTTCTTCCCCCTGCTCTCTGCCTTAGCGTTGGCAACGCTGATGGGATGCCCCATGTCTGGACATGACAAGATCAGATCCCATATCCCTATCCGACAGCCAATTTCCTTGTTACTACTAGGACAGCCTAAATCCGAAATTTGGAGCATTCCACCCCCATCATATCCACATGTAACCTGTGCGTGTCTGATATTTAGAAATATTTATATTATGTGATCACTTCATCTATAAGTCCATATAATTGCATCTCACATAGTTACCCCCAATAACTAAATAATCATGATAAGGCCATTACATGCCCTTACATGCCATTACATAGGGATACCGGGATAACTGTACAGTAAGCCATAGTTATAGTTACCATAGTTATATCCCATAGTGAAATATATTCTCCAATCTATAGCCATTCCATGGAGTTCGACCTCCGGTTCCAGGCCTGCATTTGGGCCAGCATCGCTTGGAACTCCGAGAACTCCGGCTCGAACTCCGAGCCTGGCAGCTGGCTCGAAGCCTTGGAGTCGACGCTTGGTGGCTGTGGTGATATTTAGATGGACAAAAATGATGTAAATGTGGGGAATGAACCAGTAAAACATAGTAAAACCATGGAAGAAACTGGAAAATGAACTTGAAGGAACTGGAGAAATCTGGAAAAGTTGGGGAATGCACCAGTAAAACCATGGAAAAAACACATTTTCAGAAAGTCTGGAAAAGGGAGAACTGGAAAAGGTAGAGCGACTTGACAGCAACAACTATGAATTAGTGAGGATTTAAGTTGGAGCCATTTGATTCTTGTCGGCATGGGGATTTGGCATGATTGAACGAATTATGGAGCCCCATTTTGGCGGCTCCTTGGCTCCTTTATTCATTGCTTAAAGTTAATGCTATCCCAAACCTAATGCTTTGCAACTCGTTTCTTTTCTCAAAATAGGTTGAAGCAAAATAAACTGGTCCGAAACTTCAGCCACATGTTTACTTCCAAAGGTACTCACGAGTTCTTAACTTGTACAGTTTATGGTCAGTTTTTGGCCCTTGTTCAGCTTTCCATTTACAGCTGACTGTTCTGGGGTAAGTCCCTTGAATCGCAGTCAGCAACTCTATACCAGTTCTTAAGTTTCTTTCGGTAGTTCATCCTATGCGGATGCGATAACACAACAGCACTAGGGTTTGCGCTTGGCCAGGAGCAAGGGCGGACCAGCATCCCTATACAACTATTGGCTGAACGTTTACACCATCTCCCTCTACTGGGCCATCATGACCCTCACTAGCATCGGATATGGGGCCGCTTGGTCTAATTTCATTTGGTGAGTTGTGCAGTTCCAAAACCCGGTGCGATGGTGGATGGTGGTGAGAATCGTGGTGCTCAGATTGAGTTGTCACATAGCTACCGCTAGTGGTTGAACTGGGCATCTTTTATTGTTTGTCCATGTTTGTCCTGTTTATTGTAGGTGCGTTTGCTGAGGGCCAAAATGTCGTGGCATGAAGCAAGGACACTCTTGGATAGAATCGATGCCACCATGACAAGTGCACTGCTGATGTGCATAGATTTGATCTTGAGAAAGTCTAGCAACAGGGGTGCCTCGCATGAAAGATTGGTCTCACAAACTTGGGACATACACAAGCTTGACTAAAGGGGTGTACCGCAATAATTTCACTTTGGGGCATCCCACCTGAGAAAACGCCCATGCAAATCTGCGGCAATGTTTTCTGACCTTTGGGTCGGGTTCAGACATATTTGGAGCCGATGGTTTTGAGGACATTACTCCGCAAAACAGCACTGAGTACGTTGTGGCTTGCTGCTGCATGCGCCTTTGATGCAGGGGTTGTCTCAATTCCAGGTCCCTCTGAGGTGTTTTTGAGGTGTTGTGACCAGAATGACTTTGTTTCTGGCAGACATTTGCTTTCGCTTCATTTTCAGCTCACCGCACCACATTTACATCCGTGTGGCGTCATACGGGGTCTGTGAGTCTATCATGCCTTTGATGGCTTTGGGGCCCCTGATAATTGCAAATATTCTCCCAATTCACCCCGGGATTCCATAATTATGTCCAGCCATGTCCAGCCTATGATTATGTCTGCCAGAGCCCAGGCCCAGGTTTGTGTCCTGCTGAGGAAACACCTGGTTTCTGTTTCCGTGAAATCATTGTTGTTAAATCTCCCGCTGAAACATGTTTGAACAGATTTTGAACAGTGGCTGAATCATTGTTTTCATGTTTTCAATGTTTCAACATCTTCCAACTATCAACTATCAACTAACATCAACTAACATCAACTAACATCTCATGTCAACCTCAAATGATTTAATCCGAACTTGATTCAAATTCATATGTTATATGGGGCACCGTTTTTTATCCCTCAATGAGTGGGATCACCGGGCCCAAATGGGTGGTCAAACCATAGACATCCCAAGTAGGATCCCATTACATCACCATTATATTCATTATATTCATTATGTAATATTATATATATATATATATTCATGAACTATGGTTGGTTCTGCGCCCAAACTCATGTTTGGGGATTTGATTTTGATTTTTTGGCTAGTGAAATCACCATTTGTAGACTCCAGGGGTCACCAAACAGATGAAAAAAACATATTTTCCAGGATGTCATCGATGATGTTGACTCTATAAATTCGAGGTTTCCAACTAGCTGGGGGTTGCGAAAAAAAAAATCGCATTCCATGGCGGGTTTCCAGCTGAAACACATCACCCCTAGGGCTGTGATGTCGTCCATGTGGGCCGTGGTCATCGGACAGATGTGCGGTGTGCTGGCCACCTTGCTACCCCACGATGTGACCCGGCGCGCACCACGGTCATCCTGGCTGTGTTGAAGGTGATTTTTGTCATTTTCCCAAGAGGACATCCATCATTTACCCTCTGGTAATTTAACATAGCTATTGAAAATGACCATTTATAGTGGATTTTCCCATTAAAAATGGTGATTTTCCATAGTTATGTTAAATTACCAGAGGGTAAGGGGAATCTATAAGGGGGATGTGTTTTTTGTTCTTTTTTCCCTGCCCAAAAAAGCAAAGCCAAGTCATTGGGGGCGTCCAGAAATTTAGGTCCCACAATGAACAAGGTTAGAATATGTTGGAATAATGAGCCATTTATTGTAGATCATTCATTGCAGAGGCGATGCGCCAAGGGAAACCATGGGTTTAACCGGGGTGTTTTCAGACGGACCCAGTTTTGGATTCACACAAACGGTCAAAAGCAGTAGAAAAGGAGTATAAATCAAGCATCACATCAGATGGGATCAAAACAATTCAAAACCAGTAACATGGTTTAGCAATGTTGAATATGATACATCATGATATATATATATATATATATATAATTAATTTAATACTTACATATACATTATATATATATATACATATACATATATATATATATATATACATACATATATATAATTATATACATATATATATATAAATAAGAATTCGAACCAGTGGAATGAAATAGTAAAGTATGAAAGATGGGTGTCAATATGTACAAGATATGGTGCAACAATGGTACCTAGGAGGTTGTTAGCAGCAACTCTGGAAATACCCTCCTGTAAACTAACAAAACCCACCATAGTCGGCCCTGACCCTAAGCCATCGCAAGCGGGAGGGAAGCCGTCAGTATTGGTCCGCTGCGTTCAGAGTGCCGTTCGACAACGGCGGAATCGGAGTGCTATCGAAATTTGTGTCCAATAACAGATCAAGAATGCTCAAGAATGCTCAAGTTCTACCCAGTAGCACATTGGAAGGGGTGGTAGATCCATACCAGTCAAAAAGATGATCAACAAGAAAATGGAGTGGAAGATAAAGCAGAGGGCTTCTCTTCTGTACTCCGGCATCCAATGGCCATGAACGGCAACAACAGTACCCCTGGATTTGTGGTGGACATATTTTTCCAGTTGAACCACGACAGACATAACCAACTAACTATTGGATTTCGGTGGGTATATAATTTGCAAGCGAAACGACACAACTGAGGGTTTTCCACCAAAGTGGCTTTTTCGGGTGAGGTCGCATTCAAACGAACCATGGATGACCTGAATTGGATGATGCGAGATCGCGGCATGTGGCCCAGCAGAAGTTGAATTGAGCAGATTCCAAAAGTCGTTGGTTCAAGATGATTATGAATCAATATGAATCCATGTAATATTTGTTAGTAGAATATAATACTATTCACTGGTTTCGTCATGGTCATCAAACTCCAGTGATTGTGTCAAGAAAAACCTGAGCTGTTGGACAGTTCATGTCATGGGCTAAGGCCGAAGCACCTTCGAAGCAAGTTGAGGCGCTACTTCTGGGAGTCCAGGACTGCTTTCAACCATGGGAATTTGGGCTGGCCTGTTTTCAGACAAAAGCACATTTTTCAGAAACCTGAGATGAACAACCGTCAAAACTCGCGTTATGGAAGATATGTATTCGCTGGACATTGGTTGTCATAAAATGCAAAAAACTGAGGTTAGCGATGGGACCTTTCCAAATAGCGATACCCCCATTTGAGATGTTTCATCTGCGCCCCACAGTTTTGGGCTCGGGGTTAGTTGCGCAAAGCACTGTTGTTGCTATGTGTTTCAAGTACAATCTGTTTTGAGCCTTCTTTTGGATGTCTTAAGAACTAGGTAGCCCCATAACAGGCCCCAAAAGAGGTCTGAAACCAGTTCGACAGATCTTCCTGCTCACCGTCTCAAGACTTCTTCTTTGTCTCTGTCTCTTTCTCCCTTCTCTTCTTTCTTTTCTCGTTCTTTCCTGTTTTTTCTCCAAAGCTGAGGTAGCCTAAGGACAAAAAGAGGTCTGAAACCACTCTGAAACACCCCGCTGCTCACCATTTGCAACGCTCTCTCTCTCTCTCTCTCTATCTCTCTCTCTCTATCTCTCTCTCTCTCTCTCTTTCCCTCTTCCTCTCTCTGTCTCTCTCTCTCTCTTTCTCTCTCGCCTTCTATTTTTCTCCATGTCTATCTCGTGCTATCCTCTTTTCCGGACCGCTGCATGTGTTTCAAGTACAATCTGTTTTGAGCACCTTCTTTTGGATGTCTTAAGAACTAGGTAGCCCCATAACAGGCCCCAAAAGAGGTCTGAAACCAGTTCGACACATCTTCCTGCTCACCGTCTCAAGACTTCTTTCTCTCTGTCTCTTTCTCCCTTCTCTTCTTTCTTTTCTCGTTTTTTCCTGTTTTTTCTCCAAACCTGAGGTAGCCTAAGGACAAAAAGAGGTCTGAAACCACTCTGAAACACCCGCGGCTCACCATTTACAACGCTCTCTCTCTCTCTCTATCTCTCTCTCTCTCTCTCTTTCCCTCTTCCTCTCTCTGTCTCTCTCTCTTTCTCTCTCGCCCTCTATTTTTCTCCATGTCTATCTCGTGCTATCCTCTTATCCGGACCGCTGCATGTGTTTCAAGTACAATCTATTTTGAGCACCTTCTTTTGGATGTCTTAAGAACATTTAAGAACTAGGTAGCCCCATAACAGGCCCCAAAAGAGGTCTGAAACCAGTTCGACAGATCTTCCTGCTCACCGTCTCAAGACTTCTTCTTTGTCTCTGTCTCTTTCTCCCTTCTCTTCTTTCTTTTCTCGTTTTTTCCTGTTTTTCTCCAAAGCTGAGATAGCCTAAGGACAAAAAGAGGTCTGAAACCACTCTGAAAAACCCGCTGCTCACCATTTACAACGCTCTCTCTCTCCTCTCCCTCTTCCTCTCTCTGTCTCTCTCTCTCTCTCTCGCCTTCTGTTTGTCTCCATGTCTATCTCGTGCTATCCTCTTTTCCGGACCGCTGCATGTCTTTCCGGACCGTGATGTCTACAATTCTACAATTAGAGTACGGGTGCTTGCTTTTCCGGACCGCTGGACTTGCGTTTTGGGTGCTTGCTTTTCCGGACCGCTGCATGTCTTTCCGGACCGCAATGTCTACAATTAGAGTGCGTTTTGGGTGCTTGCTTTTCCGGACCGCTGCATGTCTTTCCGGACCGCAATGTCTACAGTTAGAGTACGTTTTGGGTGCTTGCTTTTCCGGACCGCTGCATGTCTTTCCGGACCGCAATGTCTACAATTAGAGTGCGTTTTGGGTGCTTGCTTTTCCGGACCGCTGCATGTCTTTCCGGACCGCAATGTCTACAGTTTTCCGAGTACGTTTTGGGTGCTTGCTTTTCCGGACCGCTGCATGTCTTTCCGGACCGCAATGTCTACAATTAGAGTGCGTTTTGGGTGCTTGCTTTTCCGGACCGCTGCATGTCTTTCCCGGCCGCAATGTCTACAATTAGAGTACGTTTTGGGTGCTTGCAAAGCAGCTCCTCCAGCAGTTCTTCTTCAGATTCATCCAGCTCAGAGAGGTGAAAGCTCGGAGCAGCTGCTTTCTTCATGAATGTGATACCTACTTTAATTGGGTGTAGTATTAGCGATACCCCCCTCCAAACTAATGAAAGCAATGATATGTAAATTGTTACGGGACTGTGGTTAGCGATGGGACCTTTCTAAATTATGTTGATGTCCTTTCCTCAGACAAGGAGTTTCGACAGCCGCACAGATGTTGATGCAAATGTTTGCCAAAGAAGCATGCTGTAGGAAGTGAAGATGAACTGCATTTCAAGCGCCAAAATTGGAGACTCTGCATGACCCTCTAGCTTAGCCATCACATGTTGATGGCCCTCATCAAGTATTGGGAATTTATACCAAAAGAAACTTGGATGGTATAGATGGTTTTAAGCCGTAATTTCCAGGTTTCGAAGATATTTTCTATCTATGGCTTGGGAGTTGCTATGATAAAATCAATCCAATTGTTGGTTGGTGAAATGGATTGGTTTAAGGGAAAATCGGGAAAATCTACAGGAAACCATATTATTTCCATTTAATATGGGAGTTTTCCTGTAAATGTTCCCTTAAACCAATCCATTCGTTGACGAAATCCTGCGCACAAAGGAGCCTCACTCGTCTCACGGAGCAGCGAAGCATCATCGAGCGCATGTCACCTATGTTGCAAGGCGAGCGGCGAGCGGAACGTGTTGGGAACATCTTGAGGTTTCCTAAGTCATGGGGGACACCCCAAAAACGAGGATTTATAGTGGAAAGTCCAAAACACAAATTGATGATTTGGGCTACCCCCATTTATGGAAACCGGATTTTTTTTACTGGAAGAAAACAGGTTTCGTATGTCATGAACAATTGGGGTAGAACATGATATAACAATCAAAGTTGTATTTTAAAAACAGGACATTGTGACATGCAGGTTTCATCTGCAACAATTAATTTAACAAACATGTGGATTGCAGCACGGCAAGCTGGGCTTGAGTAAAAGCATGAGGATTGTTCTCGACTGACATTCTCAAATCAAGAAAAATGATAAATCAAAACACATTGGGATATCAACCTACAAGCATGCCACCAGGATTTGGAACTATCAAACAATGAAAAGGTGGCCGAAGCATCCAAGAATCCGGATTGAACCAGCAAAGAGATTGTTAGCTTTCTGGGTTTTGGGGAGGGACTGCAAAAATAACGAACTTGCCAAGCACCAATGGCCATGAAATCAATGATCAACGATATACGGATATAACCCATGGATTTCAATATCCAAGCCATTTTCACTTAACAATCCAATGACAGATCTCCTTCTCGTGGCCATCGAATGAAACGGGTTGCGTCAGGTGTTGTTGCGAGGCAGCTTTCGGAGCAATGGCTGTCAAAGGTGCGATGGGCGATGGTTGAGCTATGTAAATGGAACGTTTTTCTCCCGGCAAAGCAGACCCTTCGGTGTCATCAAAAGTAGCAATTGAAACTAGACGACGGTTGGCCCGAGAGCGAAAAAGATGTTTTTCAAGCAGCTCTGAGGATGGTAGTCGTAAAAGATAGTCGGTGAATAGTTGGTGAATTTTATTTGAGCTATGGAAAGATATGGTGTGAAAAAGTAAGATTGATCAAGAAGAGAATATTTGGTAAAGGGCATCAGATGACATGTGTCTTGCAACCACAGAGAGAAAGAGGGGGCAGAGATAAACAGAGAGAGAGAGAGAGAATGAAAGGGGGGGTAGAAAGAAAACATGGAGAAATGTAATGTGAGCAACAAAAGTGCACAGGAGGCTCAGTACCATGAGTCTGCGAATGACATGTGCTATCTCATTTTATTATGGTAATTCCCACACACATTGCGGAAAAAGGCTCGGCACCATCATTCCGTGAACGCGAAGAAACGCGACGCTTTTATACAGAGACGCTTTTACACACAGAATCTTTTACACATAAACACTTTTACACACAGACGCTTTCACACAGAGACGTTTTTCATGCACACACACACAGACGCATTTCCACACAGAGACTTTTACACGAAAACACTTTTAACACACAGACGCTTTTATACACAGACTCTTTTACACACATACACTTTTACATGCAGATGCCTTTTTACAGACGCACACACACTTTCACACACAAACGCTTTTACACACAGACGCTTTTGCACACAGACACAGACGCTTTTCCACACAGACCCTTTTACACACAGACGCTTTTACACACAAACACTTTTACACACATACGCTTTTACACACGGACGCTTTTACACACAAACACTTTTACATACAGGCGCTTTTACACACAGACGCTTTTACACTCAGACACTTTTACACACAGACGCTTTTCCACACAGACCCTTTTACACACAGACGCTTCCACAGAGACTCATACACAGAGACGCTCACAAAGCGCGGCACCACTGGGTGACCTCAGTTGCAAACAAAGGTGCGCAAACATAGTTGCAATGGAAATGCTCAAAAATCGCAAAAGTGCACAAGACCAGGCTCAGTACCATGATCAACGCACAATCCAATGCAAGGCATCCGCTCTTTGAGATACAAAATAAGCTCGGCACCATGATGCCGTGGATGACCTCAGTTGCAAACACAGGTGGGCAAACATAGTCGCAATGGAAACGCTAAAACATGCAAAAGTACACAAACAAAGGCTCCGTACCATGGCATCCAAGAGAATCTAGAAGGCCGTGCAAGAATGCTGTGAATGATTCCACAATAGCAAGTTCGATATCATGATGGCAAGGATGACACCTGTTTCACTGCATTTCTCCGATGTCCCTACAGGATGGAAAAAATCTTTACAGGCAAACAACAGTTGGCTACAGGTTTTGCATGTTCGTCACGAACAGTCTCTCCAGACGAACACTGCTACAGATTAATTTGCGCCAGTTGCACTCAGTTCCATGTGCCACTCGGTACGCAAGCCTTCCAGCTCCCACAAGCTGCTTCCAAGCAAAGGTCGGTACCATGATGCTGCAGATGTGGCATGTTTGCCGCTTTTACTACTGCAGCAATCCGGCTACTGCGGTCGATCTTTATCTGGGCACCTCCACGGACACGACCTAAGTTCCAGCATCTCTGTGAACGCAGAAAGATCTTCCAGCCAGTCAGCAGGATGCTCATACTCGAGATTCACAACGCAGTCGTTGCAGTGCCCGCAGATGTAACATCTCTCGGCTGCCATTGTCCTCCAAACATGTTCTATGCTTCTGACTGTTTTTTTGATATATTTCATATGATGATGACGAAAGTGTGGTATTGTCACGGTCATGACCTTTGCCCAGCCAGCAGAGACTTGCTGAGATGTCCAGCTATCGTCTGACTCGTTTGGATCGCCGGGTTCTTGGTTGGCACCACAGCAAATACAGATGGTGGTGTCTGCCTCCTTCCAATGACACATTTTCTTCAAAACAACCGGCCAACCAGCTTTTACCAGATAGTGTCCGGTTTCTGGTTGCAAAGAATATTTTCCGAGACATGCATATCTATTCGCTTGATTTCAAAACAATGCCATGACATGCTTGATTTCAAAACAAAATTGAACGGTACAAAATTGAACGGTACAATGATTCCCGTAGTATTTTTTTGTCCACTGCTCATGCATGTCAATGAAAACATCACATATATTTTTTTCGTGCTATACATCACATAGATCCACTGCATCGTAAACAAACACTGACATTGTCACAATGAAATTCTCGAGATCTCACGGACAGCCCCTACAGAAACCTCGAGAAGTGCAAGAAATGTTAAAGATACGATTTGCCAATCGTCACTTGTTTCACGAACATTAAGCGTACATATAAGAATATGGATGTTCACCCTGTGCACAATGCATCTTGTCTCTACGTTCACGTCTGAGCCCAGGAAAGAGGTAAAGAGGTAAACTATGCTTGTCGCTGCATAGTTGCACAATCCACTGCAAAGCATTTGCTCTCTGACTTCCAAACTGAGAACACCACTCATGAGTTTGACATGACAAAGAACCACTGTCGCAGAGACCTGCAAACTGAAGGCTGAACGCATCAACAAAAAACTAGTTTAACAAAGCTCGGTAACAAAAAACTCAGCAGCTCGGCAACACCATCTTGCATCATCTCGCAATGCCTTGTTTCATCTTGCATCATCCTGGACTTCCAAACTGAGAACACAATTCGTGAGTTTGACACTTGGGATGGGCATCATTGTCGAACACAATGGTGCTGTAAATTACATGCATCACACCGTTCTCGAAGGAAACATCCACAAAGGTACAACGAACCCAACAGCTTGGTAACTTCTACAACTTCATGCACTAACCTGCTACACACTCGCACAATTCAATGCAAAGAATGTGTTCTTCGAAGCCTGAGACCACGACTCCTGCGTTTGACAAGCAAACATCATTGTCGCATAGACATGCAAACTGAACAGTGAAGTTCACTATGAACATCTCAATTCCCACACAGATTATCACACCAAACGAACCAAGCTCCGCACGTCCTAGCACGGATACACTAGCAAGCATTTTCACCCTCAATCTCTAACAGTTCCATGTCGTGCGGTAAAAGTACACACAAAATCTTTTACACACAAACGCTTTTACACATGATGCTTTTACACAAACACACTTTGACACACAGACGCTTTGACACACAAAAGCCTTTACACGCAAACGCTTTTACACACAGACGCTTTTACACACAAAAGCTTTTACACACAGACGGTTTTACACACAGACGCTTCTACACGCAGACGCTTTTACACGCAGATGCGTTTTACACACGCACACACGCTTTCACACACAAACGCTTTTACACACAGATGCGTTGACACACAGACGCTTTTACACACAGACGCTTTTACACACAGACGCTTTTACACACAAAAGCTTTTACACACAAAAGCTTTTACACACAGACGGTTTTACACACAGACGCTTCTACACGCAGACGCTTTTACACGCAGATGCGTTTTACACACGCACACGCGCTTTCACACACAAACGCTTTTACACGCGCAGACACGCTTTCACACACAAACGCTTTTACACACAGACGCCTTTACACACAGACATTGTTACACAAACGAAAGCGTCCATCGCAATTTTTCCTCAGTTTTTGACGTCCAAGGTCCATTTCGTGCAAAAGGGTTACGATTAACTAAGTAAAATCGCAATTTTTCCTCAGTTTTTGACGTCCAACGTCCATTTCGTGCGAAAGGGTTTCGATTGACCAAGTAAAATCGCAATTTTTCCTCAATTTTTGACGTCCAACGTCCATTTCGTGCGAAAGGGTTACGATTGACCAAGTAAAATCGCAATTTTTTTCCTCAATTTTTGACGTCCAACGTCCATTTCGTGTGTAAGGGTTACGATTGACAACTCAAAGTCGCAATTTTTCCTCAGTTTTTGACGTCCAACGTCCATTTCGTGCGAAAGGGTTGCGCCGGACGCTTCAAAGTCGCAATTTTTCCTCAGTTTTTGACGTCCAACGTCCATTTCGTGCGAAAAGGTTGCGCCGGACGCTTCAAAGTCGCAATTTTTCCTCAGTTTTTGACGTCCAACCTCCATTTCGTGCGAAAGGGTTGCGCGCGACCAATAAAAGTTGCAATTTTTCTTCAGTTTCTGACGTCCAACGTCCATTTCGTGCGAAAGGGTTGCGCGCGACCAATAAAAGTTGCAATTTTTCTTCAACGTCCAACGTCCATTTCGTGCGAAAGGGTTGCGCGCGACCAATAAAAGTTGCAATTTTTCCTCAGTTTTTGACGTCCAACGTCCATTTCGTGCGAAAGGGTTGCCGGGGACGCTTCAAAATCGCAATTTTACCTAGGTTTTGGACGTCCAACGTGCATTTCGTGCGAAAAGGTTGCGTTTCGTGGCGCTCCGGCGGCACCGCCCCCGCCTTAAGAGAAAATAGAAGAAGAGCGAGAGGAGATCTGCAGATGTGAAGGTGTGAAGATCTAGATCTGCAGGTGTGAGGGTGTGAAGATCTAGATCTGCAGGTGTGAAGGTGTGAAGATGTAGATCTGCAGATGTGAGGTGTGAAGATCTGCAGATGTGAGGGGGTGAAGATCTGCAGATGTGAGGGTGTGAAGATCTAGATCTGCAGGTGTGAAGGTGTGAAGATCTAGATCTGCAGGTGTGAAGGTGTGAAGTCTAGATCTGCAGGTGTGAAGGTGTGAAGTCTAGATCTGCAGGTGTGAAGGTGTGAAGATCTAGATCTGCAGGTGTGAAGGTGTGAAGATCTAGATCTGCAGGTGTCAGGGGGTGTGAAGATGTAGATCAGCAGATGTGAGGGTGTGAAGATGTAGATCTGCAGATGTGAAGGTGTGAAGATGTAGATCTGCAGGTGTGAAGGTGTGAAGATGTAGATCAGCAGATGTGAAGGTGTGAAGATCTAGATCTGCAGGTGTGAAGGTGTGAAGATCTAGATCTGCAGGTATGAGGGTGTGAAGATGTAGATCTGCAGATGTGAAGGTGTGAAGATCTAGATCAGCAGATGTGAAGATTTGAAGATGTAGTATAACGGCTGCTTTTTTACGAAGAACCCTTCGCAGGCGCTCTCGGGAAAAAAACATGCAAATCTCCATAACAGGACAAAAGAGGTGTTACTGTATATGGGAAAATCATCTATAGATGGCAGGGGAGAGTTTGAATTGCCATGTTTGATTACCGGAGGGTATATAGCTTTCTTTTTGCTGGCGTACAATTTATGAAAAAGTGTGCCGAGCGGATAGATGGATGTGCCGCTCATGGTTGCATCAACTGACTTGAAACCTCAAAGCATAATTTTCTGATGTAGAAACATTTGCACCGAAAGGACCCAGGTGACCCAAGTGCAGCGCAGGTAATACATGATTCAGGGAGTTCACCTATTGGGAAAGGAGCTGCCTTCCTGATACTGATTATCAAACACCCGAAGCATCACTGGGCCACATCCTGGCTTTGACACACCTCTTGAGTGCTTTGGCAACTGTTTTTACCAACAGAAAATGCGCACATCATAATTGAAATCATGGGGAACCCAACTTTAGCATGGACACATCATATACAAAAGGACATTTTTTGATTTTTATCCTACCGGAAAACACTTGAGAAAAAAAATGTCAGAATCAGAAAAACAAACAGCCTTTATAACATATATTTTCTGAATCTTTATGGTTCCAAGCCCAGAGTTGGAATATAACAAGTAAGAACCTCCAATATATTTACATGTAAAAACCATGGTTTCAGGCTAAGATGTTCCAAGCAAACCGTTTCATAAGTTGTCTAGGTTCTACACCCATTGTTCATATGTTTAATGATTTTAAATGGTACAATGGTAAAATTAGTTAAATTCCATGTCTTCATGGTTAAACCGTCCTCAACCCACATTTTTCATGTGTGTTTTTCCAGGTTTTTCCAGGTTTTTCCATGTCACCCGGTGATCCTCACAGCTTGCCCCCGTTGCAGGTGCCGTACCTCCAGGCCTTGGACCAGGAGACGCTGGTGGCGGTGGCACGGAAGCTGACGCCGCAGCTCTTCGCGCCCAATGAGGCCATCGAAAAACAGAGCGCCTTCGGCCAGGTGGATTGACAATAGTATGATAATATTGTAATAATACCATATATTAGTGGATAATGGTGCTGTTAGTTGATAATACATGATAACACATGATAATACCAGTTAGACAATCTATCATGATGATTATTAGAATCCCATTATAATGATCATTAAGATAATATTTTATCAATGGTATAATGATGGTTCTTGATATAGTGATAAATAGTTATCCCATGTTTATGGTATATTATTATGGCCTTTGTTTCAATGGGATAGTATTATATATATATATCAAGGCCAGGTTGACGGCCAGGTGGATTGACAATGGTATTATTGATATACCATGCTGGAGGTTTGTTGTGATATGGCAATGGTATCATAATGGAATATAAAGTTTTTTGTTTAATCATGCATGATCTCCACATGATAATGGTTATGATATAGCATTATCATCCATCATCTACCATAGACAATGGTATTATTGATGCCGATGCACATAACTAATGATATCTAATGTGGGTTGACAATGGTATTGTGGAATTTCATCATGGGATAATGCAATGGGGTATTTGATAACATGTGGATGAATACAATGGTATACTCTCATGGACCCATCAGATTATGGTGTATAATGAAGCATGATGTGGGTTATATATGGATGATATGGTATGTTGATACGCATGATACAACAACACGTTTATATTACATATCATATATTTACATATCTTACATGATTTTCATATTGTATATATCATGAATAGTGTCTATATATCATATATTATGTCCCATTTTGTACACATATCATACATTGTAAATGGGATAGTTTCTTTTGTATAAAACAAATGGTATTAATATAACAATCTATTAACAAGGCATGGAACACAATATAATGTACTCATAATAGTGGTATTGTAACATATGGGATATGTGGGATATAAATGGGATTTCATGGATTTTAATGGGTTCACCCTGGTGTTGTAATGTGGATTAGCAATGGTATACTATCATGGATTCTTATTATTGGGATTATATATGTGTATAATGGATTCGTAAATGGAATTTGTATAGTGCATTCCATTTATACATATACATATATATATATATATACATATGTATTTATATACAATATATATATAATGGGTGTTAATGGTATTTGCATATTTGATTTATCAAGCGCTAATGGCACCATGGTATTTTATGGGTTATATTTGCATGAAAACATGAATGATGGCATACTTAATTGTAATAATATGGGATTTAATGGTATTACAATGCGGATTATATGTTATAACGAATTTATGTATAGTGGTATGATGTAATGGGATATGATTAATTACGCTGGGATTAACGGTGTGTTATACATTATGTAAGTTATAGTTCTTACGAAATATCATGGAATTTAGTTATAATGCTCTTACATTATCGATGGTATTAACAATACAGTCTAATGATCCCTTTGCAATCCAATTGCAATCCAATCAGAATATCGTGTTCTGTTTTACTATGATGGCATTCCATTAGGTATTGCATGCAATGGATTACTATGACGGTTTATAGTGGGAACATCGTCTACTGGGTACTGATGTTATATCCCAAGTAACAATTATGGTAGCTAACTATGCTAAACTCCTTCTTATTTATCCCCATTATGAGTTCCCATCTAGTTCACATTAATACAGATAACGAAGATAAATATATAGATGGAGCTAATCAACAAGATGGGAACTACTCATGATAAACAAATCCCTTAGGGAATCCCTCGGACGACCACTCGCTTGTACACCTGACTTTCCCGTCGCTTGTACACCTGACCTTCCCCTCGCTTGCGCACCTGAGTTTCTAGCTGTGATATACATACATTACACACACTACACACATTACATTCATTACATACATTACATACATTACATACATAACATAACATAACATAACAAATCATAACATAACATAACATAACATAACAAAACACACATACATACATGTCATTACATTTCGTTTCATTACATTACAATACAAGACAATACAATACATTACAATACAATACATACATTACAATACATACATTACATACACTACATACATTACATACATTACATACATTACATACATTACATACATTACATACATTACATACATTACATACATTACATACATATTACATACATTACATACATTACATACATACATACATGCATGCATACATACAGACAGACATACATACAAGGACTTTGCGTGTGGCCCATTGCTTTGTAGGGCAGGGGGGGAAGATTTAAATAATGATTTAGCATGCTGATCATTGCTTTGTTGGGGAGAGGGCAAAGTATGTGTGCGCAGGTGACGGGAAAATAGACTTGCGGGTGCGCAAGTGAGGGGGACGTGGGCGGTGAGGTGCGCAAGTGAGGGGTTGGCCAATCGCTCAATCAGTTGATAGATGATAAATAATGCGATCTATTGGGGAATGGCCAGGGATGAGGCCTTCTTATGAGGCCTTCGGCCTTGGAGTGGATGGTGGGGCTGGTGGCTCTGAATTGGGATTTGTGACTTAGACAATTTCTTCCTCTGTTTCTATATATATATATATATATTAATATATATTATATTGTTATGAATAATATTATGTTTATTTTTCAATATATATTTTTGATAATATATATATATAATAGTATTTATTTATAATATCAGTATATATGGTGTATATATATATATACATATGCGGGTAAATCGTAAAAACCTCACTGCAACCTCACTATAATCATGGTTAGTAAGGGGAATCATCCCCAAGATAGCCTTATTTCAGGTTATAGTCATTTCTACCAGATAGAATATGTTATTTCTTTTTTTTTGGCTTGAACTAAATCATTTCTACCAGACAGAATATGGCCACAGATAGAATATTCAAACGATACAGGTAAAAATCCTCCAAAACCATGTATTTTACCAGGTGAATAGCCAAAAAAAAAGTGAACAAAATAGGTTTAGTTCACATGCCTGGGAAAAAATAAATAAATCTACATAAATTAAGACAGATATAGACAGATAGAATATACAACGGAGCAGGTAAATCAACACACCGTACCTATGTAAAGTGCTTCAAAAAAGTGTGTATACATATAGCCATATATAGCCACAATGCCTACGTAAAGTGCTTCCACTGAGGGTACAAATATGTCATGAATGTTGCCCCATACCTATAAGGACATTATCTGTTCATATTCTTTCATTGTCCCTCCATGTCATGTCCAAATCCTCACAGATAGAATATTCGGAATGCATGACCTTAGCCACCATGGTGATCACAATTTATATGTGTGAATATTTGACAAAAAACAAATAAATATACACACATACAAAAGCATTTCTTTTCGTGTTCGTGCCATTTCCCTTTCATTTCTGTTCACATTCCTTTCATGCGTTTTTATTCTCCTGTCAGTTTCCTTTCACTTCCTTCCATGATCCTTCCATTTCCGTCAATCATATCTTTGTTTTACGTTCACCTTATTTAATTTCCCTCCTTTCCTTTTGTTCTTTCATGTCCTTCTGATGTTCCTCTGATTTCCCTTTCCGTTCGTCTCATTTTCTTTCTGATCTTCCTTTCATGTCCCTTTCATTTTACTCTCTTGTCACGTCAGTTTCCTTCCTTTTTTCCTTCAAATCATTCCATTTTTCGTCCGATCATTTTTTTAAATCATATCGAATTTCCGCGCATGTTCGTTTTAAATTATGTCCATGATCCTTGGTTCTTTTCTTGATCTTCCATGCCCGTTTATGCATCGGGGTGCCAATTCATTATGTGATAATGTGCAGCAGTTTTAAAGCGGCCTAGCTTTTGTGCATAGGGCCTCAGGCCTTAAAATGCACAAAAACAATGAGAACTGGTTCTGCTATAAAATGCGGTTCCAGCAAATTCACGCCGAATTGGCATCCAAGTTCATCCAAATTCGAAGTCCCTCAGAAATGCTTCTTTAGAAAGGGGTCAGGAAATTCTTTTTAGACAGAGGTATTTTAGAGTGAAGGTGCTCAAATATTTTATGTGTTTCTTCTTTTATAGCATTCTGTAGCAACAAAATACGGTGGCATTCTTTCGTGGCAATTCCTTAAAATTCCTTAAAAATCATTTAAATTCCTTTAAATTCCAAAAAACTCCTTAAAATTCCTTAAATATCCTCCAAAAACATTAGACATCCTTAAACATCCTCCAAATTCCTTCAAATTCCGTCAAATTCCTTTAAAAGTCCTTAAGCTTCCTTAGAATTCCTTTAAGCTTCCTTAAAACTCCCTAAATTCCTTAAATTTCCTTATAGTTCCTTTAAAATTCCTTCAACATTCCTTAACATTACTTAAAATTCCCTGGAATTCCTTCCAAATGATATGCCCAATAAAAATCGATATAAAGAGATCCTGGAAAAGCACTGGTTCCATTCTGCAATAAAATGCTCAGACCAACCCCTTAACAATAAAATGACTAACCTGACTCCAATTTTGAAATTCCAATACATTACGGATCTCGCTTAGACTATGCACAAGTCATCCATTTCTAGTGTGGAAATTGCCACGGGGATGTTTATGCTTCTTTTCAGTTCTTTACTTCTTCCGACGTTCTTCTATTTTCCTTTCACTTTACTTTACTTTAATGCATTTCATTTCCTTCCACTTTCCTTTCATGTGCGTTACTCCCATGTCCTTCCATTATCTGTTCATATCCTTTCATTGTCCCGACATGTCATGTCCAAAATCCTCAGTGGAAGCACTTGACATATATAGGCATTGTGGCTATATATGGCTATATGTATTACACACTTTTTGAAGCACTTTACATAGGTACGGTGTGTTGATTTACCTGCTCCGTTGAATATTCTATCTGTCTCTGGATGGTATACCGTATTCTATCTGTGAGGACTTGGCTTTAGTTCAAAATTTTGAATATTCTATCTGGTAGAAATTGACTATAGTGAATTATTGTAATTTACCCATATATATATATACATATACAAGGTGGTGCCCCACAGTTAGCGAACTTGGTTTATAACTACACTAACTAGGGCCTCTAGGGGATATAGCTATACTTATTATGGTATACATATATATATATAAACCAACGTACAACTGGTGGGGCACCACCTTGTAGAAAAACATTATGGGCACATCTCCGGGTATATCAACCCGACCCGGCTAGAAATCATCTAACCTATTCCCATAAATCCATTCCTCATAACAAACACCCGCCAGAAACCATATCTGGAACCATTTGGTGTGTATTTATACATAATGGGGATGTGATTATATCAAACCCAACTGCCTTACGAGCCACAGACTGAATGCCGACGTCACGATTTTAGATCTGCGTTTTCCACCAACTCGCATTGGAATTTAGCCAGTTGCTCATATATCTAAGTAGCAGGCCATTGGCCGCGAGAATGAATCTGTAGGCATGTAAACAACGTGAAAATGCATCAGATCTTGCTGGTATACAGGTTACTACTGGTAACCACATGAAACCGTTTGAAGCTGCGGCGTCGGAGAACCCAGGAACTCTCTTTGTGGTGCGCAGAGGAGTCTGCATGCACGGTGGCCGCGTCTTGGTGGCCGGCTCACTCTGGGGTCAGGACGCACTCACTAGACGGGTTGCGCAAGGAATCCCCAGTGACACATTTTTGTTTCAGAAAATATCAAATGTTTCATTTTGATTCGTTTCGTTTTGGATCCGGCATGTCTCCTAGAAATATCATATTTGCCCAACCTTTGTGAGTCCAATTCCACCTGCTATGGCTCAAGATTCTTCAGAGGCCAAATTTATATAATAGTTCATGCCTTTGGTGCCGGATATGATCAGTGAGGACCACAACCATTCATTGTTCAATACAAATAAACATTGTGTTTTAGACAACGACGTTTCAATGCTATGATCATTCACTGAGAGTGTTTTTGCCATGATTTTCGCTTCAATCGAAAAAACCTGTGTAGTGGGTAGGAAGCCGCTAACGGATCTAGATGGTACACGTGATTTTGTTTCCTTTGTTATTAGTGATCCATGGTTTGTTTATTGGGATTGCAACACATCCAAGACAAGACTCCCACATATCCAAGTCTACGTATATAGGAGGCGGGCGGGCCCATCATCCCTGCATGCATTACCAACCCATCAGTGCAGGATGGATTGGCGTATAGTCTCAACTGTGAACAACGACTTCCATGCCATTATTACATGCAGAAAATTGATTTGATAATTGATGCCCCAGAATTGATCGAAAAGAAACAGGACCATACAGGAACCCCTTGCAACTGCTGGTAAAACCCATCGGTTTCCGGCAAAAAATTGCTTGTGTTTTGGGCAGTCAAAGGCGGCAATAGGAAGCCGATAGCAGCCTCAATGCCGAAATCACCAGCCAAACGGGTTCGTTTCAGATTGAGTCATAAAGATCCAGCAAGAGACATGATGATAGGGCAGAATCCCAGTAATGTTGTTTTCGCATATGAAAAACATCTCAACCTTTGGTGGGTTCATTGCTGTTTGCATTTCTATTTAATATTTATTTTGTATGTTTCCAGTCAAGTCCAATCATGTTCCTATCATCAAAACATGATGATTCGACTATCGTAACTCACTTCTGGCCACTCTTCAGTGTCTAATTCAGCCGGCTTTGAATTTTGAAGCTAGTTGTTGAGGCATTTCAATCCAATAAGATGATTCATCACAATATGCCAGGTAGATAGCCTCCAGATCCCTCAAGATATAGAAAATCCACCGTAGATGACTGTATTTCCGGAGGCAACTGAGGCAACCATGGATTTCCAATGTTTTTTCTATGAGTACTGGAGGTAGGGTGTCCCAAAACCCAATATACCCAAATGATTATATAATATTGATGAACCATGATTAACCATGATTATAGTGTGTCCATATATTTTCCTATGTGATTTCCTGTAATTTTCAAGGTCCAAGATTTGGTATGGTCACCCCCAGCTACACGCAGGATATGTTGGTGTCCAACGATGCGCTCCGTGAACACTACAGTGTTCGCTGCCTAACGTATTTGGAGGTCCTCTCCTTGCGCTACCCTGCGCCGCGGCAGGGTCTCGGGATGGATTTGTTCGGGAATATAAACTATAACCATGAATATTAGTGAATGTAACTACTGTAACTAGTAATTCAAGGGGATGAATATGTTATGGATGGATAAATATGGATTATATTCACTGGATGATTTGGGGTTATAAATCCATCCCATTAGTAGCCATTGAGTGGATATTCAATCCATTAAATAATTAGATGATCAGCTTTGTTAGTGATGATATACTGGGACAGCTATTTAAACACATGTCTATGTGTTATTATGTGTTTAGTTTAAGTGTTAACCACTTAACATGAATCAAACATGTGTGTTGGCCATTGAACATTTTGATTTAATCGGATACTTTTGGGTTTTTTTTCTGGGATATACCTCCTTTGTACACGGCGATGGAAAGGAAGAAATAGGCAACTACGTTCATTAGTTGGATTACTAGTTACTATTTCCCATGTTGGGGGATTTGCGGAAGTTGATGCAAATCCAGGCATAGATACAATATGATACAATGTGGTGTCCCACCAGAAAACTGAGTTTTCTTTTAAATGAACTTAGTTTGATGTATTTTCCATGGACCATATTCATGGCTAACCCAGTTATAAACAAACTTAGTAATTTCGGGAGGCCACCTTGTAAAGTTGGACACATGGAGGGTCCTCATCTATAACGTCCTGGAAAAGGTGCTTCAATATAGAGAGAGAGAGATATCCACCATTTGAAATGTGTAAAAACAAATTCTTGGAAAACCATCGCTTGCCGATATCTATGCCACTAAACCCCAGGTTAATATGATTGAACGGGCATGGAAAATTGACCTATGATTTACGATGTAGCCGATTCGACCTACTTCAGAAAGGCGTTGGAACGGATGCGTCAGGCGATTGGAACCCATCAATGGATGAATGAAAGTCCTCGGCACCGCTGAGCTAGTACACCACATAATCATAGCTGACAGGGGAGGAACTGTAAACAAGCCCAAGTAGAAAGATGAGCTTTATACCTTTGAAGTAGAGTTTTTTAGTTTTGACCATTCTTGTAGATAAGCTTGCAACATATAGTATAAAGTATAAAGCAACCCCAAAAAAGATAGATCAGTTTGAAACCTGGAAACCATGGGGAAGACATCATCTATACCATCTTGAAAATACTTTTCTATCTTTTTGATGGTTCCTTTACAGTAATTGAATCTATAGTACTTGTCCGTTGAATCTCCCGAAAATGAAAACTCTGCATTCATTGGGCAACGCTGCAACTTCCAGCAGCCCAGGACTGTTCCAATTTGGCAGATTCCATTGGTTTTCAGCTTCATCCTCCACCATTTTTGTTGACAAATTTAGTTTCAGAATGCTCAATTATACGTATAATCTTCATGATTTTGGTTTATTGGTTGCTAATGTTCACATATATATATATATCATAGTGCTAGTATACAATGCATTATGATCCATTATACATTTTATTGTTTTTAACCCTCCATGTTTAATGTCGGATTCTCAATATCAGAAACAATGCCCGCCTATCACTTCTAGGGGGCGGAAAAAAAAGTATCCATGCCTGCCATGGTATGCCATGTTTCAATATTAGTGACTGGGGACTATCCACTTATATATATATATGTATTAGGTACTAGTCACTAGTCACTGATATTAGGTATTAGTATAACCCAGTGGGAGGACAAATATATAAGGTATTAAATTGATACTAAATAATATCAATAATATCCCATTGGTCTCCCATTGGTCCAATTTGTTTTTCACTTTCACTCATGATTTTCAAAGCCATGATGTGTATTGCCATGATGCATTGAAGAGACCCTCATTTTACCTACCATGACAAATTAATATTGGTCATTGCGAATATTATGAAATGAATCAATGAATGATTACTATTATTGGATCTTAATTTTCATGGTATTTTGCGGAATGAATGTCATCACAATCCCAGTAATCTTATTATGAACCGATTGGACTGCGGATTTTGCCTGTTGGCTTCTCACCCAGTCGAGGACTTCAATATTGCCGTCCAATCTCAGAAGAGCCGCACCTGGGTTTAGCGTTGATCACAAGGGGTTACCCACTACACATGGTCGGGAAATCCCCTCGAAATGGCGGGTTGTTTGTACGCGAGATTCAGAACGGATGCAACGCGTCGGACTTGATGTGTTTGGAACGATGGTTCCATCCCTCACTTTGCGAGATGCATATCCAAATTGGTGTTCAGGCTTAAACTAAGGCAACATAACATGACCAAGATTGAGGGTGCCAGGGGGCCATTGGTAGAGCTGTGTTCAATACGGTGATTAAAAGATCACCGAATTGGATGATTTGGGTCGTTCCGATTTGCCCCCCCCCCGCAAAGTTGACATTTCAAAGAAAAACACCTGGAAATGGGAACGCATCCAACAGATATAAAAGGATGGGTTACTATCCAACAGTTATTAATACCATCACTTTGATGATTTGGAAGCCTTGTGAAAGCAGAAAGGCAATCCAACAGTGATGGGAATGTCAGGCTGCATATAGGGGATGCATCCAATCTTTGCCGAGAAATTCTGGCCTGCCATGTGCTGAAATGCTGCGAAGCCCATACTCTGATTGATCTCTAGAACGCATCGGATGATCAGACATGAGCATGGAACAATCAACAGATGATGTGCCAGTAAATAAACATCGAATATCATGGAATCCTAGTCCTAATGTGTTTGAGGTGTTTGTCCAACTATCAGTGTGCTCAGGTTCTTTTTAGAAAAACAACCAACCATCAACCCAGCCAAATCCCACTGAAACGTAGCCCTCAAACCACTTGCGGTGCTGAAAGGTCGTATCATCCGGTGGTGGCAGATTCGCTTGGCTTTGACACATGTGTCTCGGTGCTGATCTGAGACTGACCGGGGGTATGTTTTTCTGCTGTTCAGGTAGAGGTAGCCTTTTGAATCCTTGAAAAAACATAATGTGATCATAAAGACATTCCAGAAAACTAATGGATGTGAGTGGTGGTCGACAACCCTTCAATAGTTGTTGGGAATTCGGAATTTGATAACCAGCGAAATCATAACCATCATTATACTAGTACTGCGCTGAACAATATTCTTTTGAGATTATCAATTGACTGCCATTCTTCTTGCCATCCTTATTGCTGTAATCATCGGTCCCACGCTTCGACGGGGTCGCAGGGTGTGAAGAAGATTGCCGAACAAATTCGCCAACTGCACGCGCGGGAGAAGGCGCGGGCCTCTGAAACGAGATGCAAACTGGAACTGGAACCTATATAATTAATGGGATAGAATAAGGACTCAGCATCAAACGTGGTTGTAGTATGGGATTTTGTTGGGGATATACCGGATATGATGGATAGATTGTATTGAGATTTCGTCACAAACGCATCATTTCATGTCCAGCGAAGTAAGGCGCTGGACGACAAGATGGGAGCTCTTACATTCAGGTTGGTGAAGTATCGCATTTTGTTCCAGAATGATTTTTTATGATATCATGGTTCACATACTATATTTCTTCTCAAAAACAGACAACTTTATATTGTACATATACACATGTCCGTGTGTGTGTGTGCGCGTGTGTATGTGTGTGTGTGTGCATATACGTGTGACGCCCCATAGTTAGCTAAGTCGGTTTATGACTACGCTATAGGGTTTGAGTATATCCATACTTAACAGGGTTCACAAAGCAACTTTGAACTGGGGGGTATCTACTGTTGGGATGGTTTCAAACCAATCAGGTTTTGGGGACATGTAGCAACGTAGAAAATATGGAACATCCTACAAACAAGTGCTGAATTTACTTTTCTCTTTTGGGGTGGTTCTTTAATATATGGTACATAATTTTGTGGAGGAAATATTTTAAATCTTCGGTGATATGCAAGCAACTTAATTCTCTGCACATGGGTTTGTCAAAAGCTGGCTGGTGTCCTGCAAGAAGAAGTCCTGCAGTCGTTGAAGCATATGCAGGTGTTTGTTGCTTGAACCACTTGGGGGGTTCCTAAAATGGGGGATCCCCAAAACCATGGGTTTTAGCACTGAAACCGCGTCCAATGACTTGGATGATTTGGGGATCACTTTAAGAAACCTCCATTTTGAACTAAAGGTGCTACGACCCTGTGCTGAGGCGCAGTTTGATGCCCTGAAAGCCGAGGAACGTCTATCCTTGCTGTTGCTCGGCAGGATGTGGAGGTTGCGGAGAGCTACCCTCACAGATCAAGCATGGCTGACTTGGAATACCTCCAAGGAAAATGAAGGTTTACTTTAGTGCGAAATGGGAAATTGGCAACATTGTCTTTTTGGTGGATTTCCCTTGCCATGTTTGACTACGGGTGATACCTTTCTGAAATCCAGGGATTGAATCATCTCAAAAACACACGTAGCCTTAAATCCTAGCCATCCTAGTCATAAACCCAATTAACCTTCAGTGATCAAACATTGCCGTTGAACATCCCTGAAAAATCAATTTTATAGCAGGGAAAAATCATGTAGAAAGGGTGGATTGTCCAGCCAGCCATGTTTGATTAGGATGTTGCTACCAGCTGTATCAAGAATAACTGGAATAATCGAATAATCACAGCCCCCTAATACGAAACACCCCCATTGTATGGTCCCAAATATGTGGTTTAATCTCTGCATTGCTACATCCACCATGGTTTCCGCGAAATGTTGAGTATTAGAGGGGAAGGACTCTTGGAGAGGGTGATGGAGAGAGAGAGAGAGAGAGGGGAAAAGGATTAGGGAACAATTATCCCACTTGGTAAGTGGTGAGCAACCTTGGTTAGCAAGTCCCCTATATAACTGGGCTTATCCCACTTATAATTGGCTTATGGGATGATCCTCCAGCCTCTGACCCTCTGGGATTCTCAGGGCACGGCTCTTGCGCGGGGACAACATCCAAGCCTTAGCACGAAAGCCGGGTGCCAAGGGTGGATCCAATCGGGGGAAGGGAGTGGTGAAATTCATACTGGATCCCTCTGGTTCTTAGCTATTGAACATTGCCCATTGAGTTCAACGATTTACCGTGATTTATCTATTAGATCCTATTAGACAATATTCAACATGGTGATTTTCAATAGCCATGTAAGAAATTGCCAGTAGGGTTTAATCCCCTTGCACCGGAAAAAATGGATGGCGAAGCCTAGGTCTACGACCAGCAGCTCCGTCAGCAAGTCATCTTCGGAGACGGTCTCGCAGGTGGAACCACGGCCCGAGTCAGCGGTGCTGGCCACTTGCCGACTGCTGGAGGCTTTGAAGATGTTTGGAGACATGTATTGTATGAATATATTGTATATATATATATAATTATCTATCTATCTATCTATCTATCCATCCATCCAATCAATCAATCCATCCATCCACCCATCCATCCATCCATCCATCCATCTATCTATCTGATCTACTGACCTATCTATCTATCTATCTATCCATCCATCCATCCATCCATCTATCTATCTGATCTACTGACCTATCTATCTATCTATCCATCCATCCATCTATCTATCTGATCTACTGACCTATCTATCTATCTATCTATCTACCTATCTATCTATTTATCCATCCATCCATCCATCCATCCATCCATCCATCCATCTTCTATCTATCTGATCTACTGACCTATCTATCTATCTATCTGTCTGTCTGTCTGTCTGTCTGTCTGTCTATCTAATCTACTGACCTATCTATCTATCTATCTATCTATCTATCTATCTATCTATCTATCTATCTATCTATCTAATCTATCTAATCTATCTAATCTATCTATCTATCTATCTATCTATCTATCTATCTATCTATCTATCTATCTATCTATCTATCTATCTATCTATTTCTATCTATTTCTATCTATTTCTATCTATTTCTATCTATTTCTATCTATCTATCTATCTATCTATCTGTCTATCTATCTATCTAATCTATCTAATCTATCTAATCTATCTAATCTATCTAATCTATCTAATCTATCTAATCTATCTAATCTATCTAATCTATCTAATCTATCTATCTATCTATCTATCTATCTATCTATCTATCTATCTATCTATCTAATTATCTATCTATCTATCTATCTATCTATCTATCTATTTCTATCTAATCTAATCTAATCTAATCTAATCTAATCTATCTATCTATCTATCTATCTATCTAGTTCTATCTATCTATCTATTTCTATCTATTTCTATCTATTTCTATCTATTTCTATCTATTTCTATCTATTTCTATCTATTTCTATCTATGTCTATCTATTTCTATCTATTTCTATCTATTTCTATCTATTTCTATCTATTTCTATCTATGTCTATCTATTTCTATCTATTTCTATCTATCTATCTATCTATCTATTTCTATCTAATCTATCTAATCTATCTAATCTATCTAATCTATCTAATCTATCTATCTATCTATCTAATCTAATCTGATCTAAATCTAATCTAATCTAACCTAACCTAATCTAATCTAATCTAATCTAATCTAATCTATCTATCTATATATCTATCGATCGATCGATCGATCTATCTATCTATCTATCTATATATTTATATCCATCTATCTATCTATCTATCTATCTAATCTAATCTAACCTAATCTAATCTAATCTAATCTATCTATATATCTATCTATCGATCTATCTGATCTATCTATATATCTATCTATCGATCTATCTATCTATCTAATCCTATCTATCTACTAATCCTATCTATCTATCTATCTATCTATCTATCTATCTATCTATCTAATCCTATCTATCTAATCCTATCTATCTAATCCTATCTATCTAATCCTATCTATCTATTCCTATCTATCTATTCCTATCTATCTAATCCTATCTATCTTTCCCTATCTATCTAATCCTATCTATCTAATCCTATCTTTCTAATCCTATCTATCTAGTCCTTTCTATCTATCCATCTATCTATCTATCTATCTAATCTATCTATCTATCTATCTATCTATCTATCTATCTATCTATCTATCTATCTATCTATCTTTTCTATATATATATATATGTTGTAAATATATGTTGTAAATATTCCTTTTTTTTACATACATATATATATATATGTATGTGTGTGTATGTATGTTCTTCTAAAATACATAAATACAGTTTAAATACACACCAACATATAGTTATATATTTAAATATGTGTGCTGTGTATGTAATGTAATGTAATGTAGTGTAATGCAATGTAATGCAATGTAATGCAACGTAATGTAATGTAATGTGCACACGCTGGGCAGAGAGAGAGAGAGATAGAGATAGAGATGTAAGTATTATGGATGCACATATGTATATATATATATATTTGATTTATATACATACATAATCTCATATATATATATAATCATATATATATATATGTAGTGTATTTGTTTTGCTTTTACTAGTGCATAAGAGTCTGTCTATAATTGTTTGCAACTATTGCAGGCATAAATTTTCTAGATATGTTATTGTATGTGTGTATATGTCATATGCTATATGTGTGTGGTGTGTTTTTCTTTGTGTTTGTGTGTTTGGGTGTGCATGTTTGGGTGAATGTGTAGTTTATGATGTGCATATTTTTGTTGGGAGATCAGATGATTTTTTGTTGGAAAATTGCTGGTTTTGACTGGCAATTCGGGGATTTTGATCGCAGGATTGATAGTTTAGGCAAGTGTTACTTGAGCACATCCTTTCATTCCGTCAATGGAAAAAATGAAACACGATATTTCCATGACAAATCCGGAGGGAAGGATGGCGACCAAGCGGCCGTCAGGCTGTTAAAGATCCAAAATACCGTTGTAAGGCAGTGATACTGATCATGTGTTTTCAGGGTCAAGGGATGCTTAATAAGCCTGGTTAGTCAATCGGCTAAGTGGGCGTTCTCATTTATATATAGATGGGTTCGAAGTATGGTTGCCAAATGTACATCTGCGTACATGTATACATGTTGAACAAGAAAATCTTACTAGCTGCGATTCGTGCCATGATCCTCCTGGCGTGTCAGTCCATTTCAAGCCTTTTTTCGCAAGCCCTTTCTGCCCTTTCTCATTTCTAAGGTGGCAAGTGAGGAGTTCGAAAGCATGAAGCAAGCAATTATGCACCTGACCCAAACTGTCGAGCAACTGCAACAGACAGTGCTTGAGAGGTCAGGATGAATAGAACACAGACGTACGACGTAGGATACTGTAGGATAAATGTTTTTTGGTCCGGGGCATCATCCGTTGAATGCGGCTGCTCCGCTGGTTTTCCGTTGACGTACTTCAAGGAAACCCGCCACATGTCTATAAACGGCATGTTGCGGGAATTAGTTTTTGCAGATGTGGGTATACCAATTCAGACTGTCATCCTGTAAGCAGGTGTAAGCATTCGGTCTTTAGATCGTTCATGATATATTAATTCATTTGATATCTTCATGACATGCCTATTATGTAATATAGCCCCTAGCAACCGAACATTGCAATCGAAATTCGATATCATGGATTTTTTACTGGGAAACTATTCGAAACAGTATCAAATCTTATGTCTTTGAAGATTTGGTCAACCAAAAAATGAGAGTCGTTTCTTTTTTTCCATGCGACTCGGCAACCAGATAGAAATCGATAAGCCCTAACAAGCCATTGGGTGGCATACACATGGGGTTGTCTCAAAATCCGCAAGCCCCAAATCCCAGGGTTTGTCATCCTTTAACTACTTTGTTGAAATGGCAGTTTTGGCACATCCTGGAATTCGAGACAAATACACATAGTTTCGCCACATGATCTATAAGTGTTTTTGCTTTGTCAGCCAGATGTTCCCATAGCTTTATATAGTATGATTATGATGTGTCCGAATTCCAAGAGACCATGATAAATAATATCCAGTCATGCAACTGAAAGACCCGCACCTGTGGGCAAACGATCGTAGAGGATTTGATGCCATTCTGCAAGCATTCTGAAAGCATTCAGCAAGCGCCGAAAAAAAACGCGTTTATCAATGAACTGATCGGTTATAGGGAGACCTGCAAGCAAGTTGTTCTCAAAATAAGGGTGTCCTGCTTAATTTTATTTCAGACCTATGATTCATATGAGATGACCTCATCATTCGAGACTGATTTGTTTGACGGTGATGTTCGATGGCAAAATCATTGGTCCGAACCCCAGAGTCTCTGGAAATCCAATCTCATGCAATTCCAGTATGATTGGGGCTTCTAATCACATTCGAAACCTCAGCCATGATCAGCACTTGTGACCCAATTTGTCATATAGGGGAATCATTCCACTGAGTATCTAGTTGATAACCATGGTTAGTAAATCTACTAATGGTTAATGGCTTTTCGATGCTTTTCATGTTTTTATTATGCATATGTTTTATCAATCATTGACTGGGTATCAATGGATACTGCAGATTCAAGTTGAACTATTGATATCCTAGCAAGGTATTTACGGCATATTTTGGTTAGTATAGCCACTTTAGACAGAGTATATCAATGGTTAAGTGACGAAAACAACATGGCTTATGTTGGCTACTGCGGTAGTATCATCTCCCTGAGGCTCAATCTAGTCCCGTAGCTGGGAGCTTGACAGCCGAGTCCATGCCTCGGCATCAACAGATGGGTAAGTTACAACGACCTCACTGCAAGCTCACTGGAACAATGGTTTGAGGGATTATTCTAATAACATGTGGGTAAAACAATAATAAACCAACCCCCAAATCACCATAAATAGGTTTTAAAAACCATTCCCAAATTTCAAATGGCTGGTTTATTATTGTTTTTTCCGACATTCGCCTTATTTATTCCAGGTTAGTGACATATTATGATTTAGCCAGATATATGGGGATACCGAGAGATACTTCATGGCTATATTTGCTGACAATGGGAACATAATGGGAATATAATGTACAGTATCTGATCTATCTATCTATCGATCAATCGATCGATCTATCTATCTATCTAATCTATCTATCTATCTATCTATCGATCAATCGATCTATCTATCTATCTAATCTATCTATCTATCTATCTATCTATCGATCTATCTATCTATCTAATCCTATCTATCTATCTAATCTATCTAATCTATCTAATCTATCTAATCTATCTAATCTATCTATCTATCTATCTATCTATCTATCTATCTATCTATCTATCTATCTAATCTATCTAATCTATCTATCTATCTATCTATACTTAATAAATACGAATGGAATTTATATATATGCCTATTTATCTATCTATATCTATCTATATAAATGTAAAATATATTTTTGTGACCTGCAAAAGAAACGTAGGCCCTTAAGACAAGACATAAGTAAGTTTGGTTTGTCATTACAAAAAGTTCTGGATTTTTGGTTGGTATATCTATATTTAGTCGAATGAGTTTCTAAACCAACTTATTGCTGGCGAGATCAATTTGTGAGGGGCATAAGGACAGAAATGGCCTCCTGATTGATGTTGTGTTGGAGTATTTTTAGGATTATCGTGGTGATTATTCTGATTGCATATAGGAAACTTCCGCTATTGACAGTATTCAATGCTACCCTTTGGTGATGAAAGGGTACAATTCCCTACGTTTATCGAAAACCATAAATAGATTTGCAAGATTCTGCATTGCAGCATGTAAGGACATGGCATGACGTGCAGGCGGAACGCTAGCCAGATTTTGTGTTGGCTGGAATCGAGGGGTTGGACAACATTGAAGAACTACTAGGCACATGGTAAAAATGGTATGCTTAGCCAGCCTCCCTCTTTGTTTGGTGATGACATCATACATGATTCAAGTAGTATACCCAATAGTGGGCCCCAACTGGGGTGGTTTACCATTGGGTTTACCACATTCAACCCTATCATTAGTTATAGTATGTTACAGTTACGAAAGCCAGCCGCTAGGCTAGGCGAAGTTTTTTTGAGAACAAAGTGATATAAGGGGGTTTAGGGGCAGAGCGGGCAAAATGGGCGGAAAATCACAGAATTAGGTGCAGTGGAGCGAGGACAATTGGAGCATTTTTGAGGGGTATGTACCAGGTGGCAATTGGGTGACGGTGGGGCATCGATTCCCCCTGGTCCATCGTCAGAGTTGCATGTGGGGAGGCGATAGAGAGACGGGAATAGAAGGGAGTCACAGGAAAAGGCATTGCTTGGAAAGGTCGCTGGAGGTGTATTTGGGAGGCGTCAGAGAGATCGGACGAGAATATGCATCGGTCTCTTATTCTTCTACCCCTGTGATCTGTTGGGCTCCGATGTGGGATCATTGCGGTCGCAAGGATTAGAAAGAATTTCCTGTCTTGCCTGAGGCTCAGACATGTGGTTGATTCCTTCCAGTATGCTTTGTTTTTGTTCGACCTACCGGGATGGCTGTTGCCATTGGCTTCCATGTTATCTTCATTCATGGGGTTCAAACCGCCCAAACATAATATGTTATTTGATATTGTAGAATTCCAGACCTCGATTTAATATTATATAAATGATTATAAATGTATGTGTTATATACATATATTTTGCATATTTATATATATGTATATATATATATTTAATTATATATATATATACACATGCATACTTTTTTTACATGTACAATATACACATCTATGTTTAATTATGTATATCCCCACAGTGGTTTATTAAACCCAGGAAGCCTGGCAAGGTTCAAGACCGAGCTGCGCCAGGCGACCAGTTTCGGCTGCCCAGTCACTCATGTGGGGATTTTTTTGTGGGGCAACGTTACTGCACCCCTGGAAAGGATAGAAGATGATAGAAGTTAAATCAATTCAATCCATGTTCGTTGTTTTTTTTTTTGTGATATCTATTTTCACAAAATGCACAAACATGAAATCTTGGTGAATATGTTTTTTTTGAACGCGCAGAAAAGTAGAATCCCTATATGTTTGTGTATATGCTCGGAATTGCTAGGATATGTGCACATTCCTTTTTGAGGAGGGTTACTGTATTTAAAGTCCAGCGCATGCTGCTCTTCTGGATTTACGTGCCAAACAATTATCATGCATGTCCTTATTTGTACACACATAGGTGTATATATATACACATATATATATATGTATGCAACGCAATGGGACCGCAAGATTGTAGATTTGGTTGAGTTCCTGTCACGTTTTACAACATTCAACAATAGCAACAAAAATGGGTGTCTCCATTAATTGGGGATTGAATTAGTTTCTTCCGGCATTTTGCGATCATGCCGCCATGGATTACTTGTGTGAAAGGGGCGGGCAGCAGCCCCAATCACCATGAGCTAGTCTTGCCCCTGACATGGACCATGGTGGACATCAAGGGCCCCAAGTCTTGGAAACTGTTTTGTTTGGCAGGATGACATTGAGTGGAGACCTCACGCTTTGATTTTGAAATTGGATCGAGGGACTTGATCAGCTGTTTCTGTGGCCTAGGCTTCCAGAGCCAAAGCGAGCTTGGGTTTCTCATCCCAAAATTGGTTTCCCCCAACATCCGGGAGGAACCCCCCTATTTTTTGGGTGGCATTGGTCAGGTGGTTCCGGCCAAGGCTTGGGCTCAAGGAGGATGGGATGTTGACGAAAATCAATGCCGCCCTCTGTGGCAACCCACTGCAAAAACCCATGCCCAACTTTTCATCAAGTGACGCCGAAAAGTGCGCCTTTTGTTGCAGGATTGCCACGACATTAACATAGATACAGTACTGGCAAAAATGCACTGAGCCGTAATTAGGCCTTAACCCCCCGCAAGTTTGTACAGACACTGCAGGACCATTCTGTTCGGGGCAGATGGGTCTCCCATAAAATGTGTCGCAGAAAGCAATAACATCAATAAACATCAATAAACATCAATACACATCAGTAAACATCAATAAATATCATAAACCAACTCGTGTAACCCACTGGCCCGGCTTTGGCGGGCTTTCGCCGCAATGGGCGACGAAAAAGCCTGTTGGTCAGATGTGCCGGGACGACAGGGACGACTTGGGCGGTGTTTCTGAGCTGAAATTTGGAGGCCGCAATAGAAAAACGAAAGTGCTGGAGTCAGATTCAGTAGGGCTTACAATAAGGTATAATAATTATGATATGATTTTGATTTGACTATGATTTGATTAAGTGAGTCGGTCAGCTATCATTGAGTAGTCGGAAATGAATCACATGAGCTAATGTGATCATTTGGACATTTTGTGGTGGGGTCGAGTGTTCTACAATCATCTTGGGCTTACATTCTCTGGAATTCCTAGATGGACACCCGGAAGGCAAGCCTGCTATCATCAAGTGTCAGTGGAACAGTTTCTCTTTGGAGTATATTAAGTGATAACTACGATTTTCCCATTTAACATGTAACATGGCTGTGGAAAGTGGATGAAGCATGATGAAACATGGCCCAGTTATA